TGGGTAAGAGGGGTAGGGGTGCTGTGGGTAGTGGGGGTGCTGGGGGTAAGGGTTCTGTGGGTGGGGGTAGGGGTGCTGTGGGTAGGGGGAGTAGGGGTGCTGGGGGTAGTGGGGGTAAGGGTTTTGTGGGTAGGGGTGCTGGGGGTAGGGGGGATAGGTTATTAAATCAGTACCCCCCCCTCCCTTCTTCTAACCTTTGGTGAAGGGGAGGGGGGGACACAGCCATCCCTGGTGGTCTGGTGGTGGTATGCAGGACAGGATGACAAGTCCTGCAGCTCTCCCGTCCTCCCGCGCGATGCTGTGTGGAGCGTTGCCATGGTAACGCGCGGCAACGCTCCACACAGCTCGCGGGTGGACAAGAGAGCTGTTTCCTCGATCCTTCCTCCCTGCTTCCGGTCCTGCCGACACGGAAGCAGAGTAGGCGCCTGCCGTTTCGGGCAGGCAGGCGCCTACTCTGCAGTGATGGCAAACCTATGGCCGTGTGCCCACAGAGAGGGCCCGGCGTGCCACCTGTGGCACGCGTGCCATAGGTTCGCCATCACTGGTCTAGGCTGTCAGACAATTCCCCCAGACCAGGAGGAACAAGGACAGCGTTCTATGCCGCCCGCAGGTGTTTAGAGCCACCACTAAAAGGACGGCATAGGGTGCAGGCTGTCCTTAAGGGGTAAAATTATGACAACCTCACCTTAACTACAGAGGTAATTATACAAGACAAGTTCTGAACCAAAACAAAACCTGAAATTTGAGCTATATGTCTGTTCAACCATAATTTAAGGGTTTCTCTTCAAGTGCCCCCAATACGTATTGTACATTATTGGTTAAATGACAGGGCTTTCATTTGATGTGACATGTAAATTGTCATTATTAATTAAAAAATTAAAAAACATTAAACAAAAACCTTTCTTTCCCCACAGTATTGGCAATAATAATATGTTTATAATTAGTGCAGCTTATGAAAAGTAATGCAGAATAAATTCATTTTTGTGTCCCGATTTATTTATGGTAGTCACAAAATACAGGGAGTAAAATGTGAGTTCAGTGTCGGGCAATTATAGAAGTTGGTATGTTCGTCTTGTAAGCCTAATAGTCATCACATAAAACAACTGCCACCCAAAAGTATATGTTCATGTAATGCAGACATCTCAGGCTATTTACCTGATGGGTATTGTGACACTTATTATGCAGCCTTTTAAGTGTTAATCTCTGCTAAATATTGTAGTAAAGACCACTGCATTTAATATTTATCAACAAGGAATCGCAAAAGAAACAATTGCGAAAAACCCCTACCATAAATTTAGTAACAAGGAGCACTACTTTTCCTATACCTAACAACAAAACCTTTTATAGACAGGCAACCTTCACAATTTTCAATGTGCACCCTACTCTGGTCCTCCGTTAGTCATTCGGTTCCTTGGTAAAGCTAACAGGAAACGAATTCCTTTCTGGGAATTTAGTGTACCAAGGATGCCATATCTTATAAAATCCTTCTAATTTACGCGGAGAGATAAAAAAAATACTTTTTCCATCATAGCTACATGGTCAATCTGTTTTTCTACCTCTCCCCAACTTATATATTTAATTATAAGCTTCATGGCCACAGCACGTGAATGACCAAACTCCTCAGTGTTGATGATAAAATTGTTAAACCACAATGAAGTAAAGCTATGTTCGGATGAGGGTTAAATACAAACGTCAAGGCAGAGATAACCCCAAAAATCTCTTCCCAAGTAGGCATAGTGAGTTTCCACTCCCACTACATGTGTAGATTGTTACCTATTTTTTTCTTTACACCGCCAACAGTCCTCAGACATTGATGGGTTAAACTTATGTATCACTTGTGTGTAAACATGATCTTAAATTGGAGTTAGTTCCTGAATGTTTATATAATGTGTAGCTCTTTTTGTAATAATGGACCATATTTTTCACACTCTCTCAATGAGACCATCTACTCCAAGCTTTAGGGAATCTTTCCACTGTCCTGGCATATAATTCCATCTTTTTAGATCCCCCGGTTGGTTAACAATTTTTCTATTTGGGATAACATCTCAACATTGTCCTCAGAAAACTGATGTTTAACAATATAGTATTGGATTCTATATATGCTAAAATATTGACTTATTGGGATATTAACATCTCAATTTAATACTCTTAAAGGACCACTCTAGGCACCCAGACCACTTCAGCTTAATGAAGTGGTCTGGGTGCCAGGTCCTTCTAGGGTTAACCCATTTTTTTTATAAACATAGCAGTTTCAGAGAAACTGCTATGTTTATTAATGGGTTAAGCCTTTCCCCTAATCCTCTAGTGGCTGTCTCATTGACAGCCACTAGAGGTGCTTGCATGCTTCTCACTGTGATTTTCACAGTGAGAGCACGCAAGCGTCCATAGGAAAGCATTATGAATGCTTTCCTATGTGACCGGCTGAATGCACGCGCAGCTCTTGCCGCACGTGCGCATTCAGCCGACGGGGCGGAACGGAGGAAGAGAGAAGGAGGAGAGCTCCCCGCCCCAGCGCGGGAAAAAGGTAAGTTTTTACCCAATTCCCCCTTCCAGAGCCGGGCGGGAGGGGGACCCTGAGGGTGGGGGCAACCTCAGGGCACTATAGTGCCAGGAAAACGAGTATGTTTTCCTGGCACTATAGTGGTCCTTTAAATCCTCCCTCTTGAAACAGCTTTATATTTTTGTTTGGCCAGGAATCTAGTTTCAAATCAACAAACAAATCCTCAAATATAGTAACTGGGACCTCTGTACTTATCACTTTTTGAATTCCTTTCAAAGTTTCAACAGCCCTCCTAAAATACAGTAATTTTATGTATGGACAGGGCTATGATGGGGCTAGCAGTCTTATATATTTTCTTGTAGAGAACTTTTTTTTTCTAAATTTAAACATCCGTTTTATAAGACCTGTTAGTATCAGATTGGATATATTAAAAGATTTGAAACGTTTAGGGTCCGCCCATAGAAAGAGATAAGGATCAAGTCCTCTACAATTATTTCTTTCCAGTATCAGCCCAGTTTTTTGTTTGTGTTTATATTTATCATAAATAAGTCTGAAAGCATACATGCTTCATTTTATGTAGGTCAGGATATCCCAATCTACTAGCATCTGTCTTCTTTCAAGGATATCTCCAGGGATTCCTGGTTTCTTGGATCCCCATACATAGAAAAAAGAATCTCAATCTCTCTTATTATGACCAAAGGAACTGGAATTGGGATGGCTCTGAAAAGGTAAAGAGCTGTAGGGACTAGATAAGCCTTGATGATATTATCCGTCCTAACCACGATATCTCTAAGCCCTTCCATCAAAAAAATACAATCTTTAACATCTATAATCAAATCTGAATAGTTTTTGGAGATCAAGTTCCCAGGTTTAGCACAAAGTTTATTTCACAGGTATTGAATCTCTTTATTATTCCAATCTAATGTTTCAAACTATCTCACGTTATGAATTTCTAAATCCGATAAGTAAAATTGAATAATTTGAGTTTTAGAAAGATTTATTTTATAGTTGGAATACAAACTATTTGTAAAAACTGTAGAGAACGAGGAGCTAGGAGAAGACAGTGTTAGCAAAATATCATCTGCATACATGGATATTTGATGGTCTTGGTTTCCTCCTCTTATACCTGTGATATTATGTGTTTTCCACCAAAAAGCAGCCAGTATTTCAATTATGAGGACAGCCCTGGCGAGTGCCATTATGTATTTCGAGACTCTTCCAACTAAGAAAGGGACCCATGATTTTCGCACTTGGAAGTGTGTACATAGTCAGATCTGTGAACCGGCCGGTAAGTCCAAATGCCCGCAGAGTCTGTGCTAAAAATCTCCAATTTACTCTTATCAAACGCTTTTTCTGCGTTGAGTGCCATAATAATTGATGGAATTTTTCTACGGTGAATTTCATTAATGATGTTAATGGTTCTGCGGGTATTGTCCTCCCCTGCCCAACGCAAAATCTACTTGATCCGGATTGATTAAATTTGAGATGACCTGGTTTTAATCTATGTGCTAAAATCTTAGAATATATTTTTATGTCTAAGTTTATTACTGAGATGGGTCTTTAATTAGTTACAATAGTTGGATCTTTGCCGGGTTTTAAGATAGGTGAGATAGTAGCTTTAAGAATCTATTTTGGAAAGCCTTCTGGTTTGGCTATAGCGTTGTACACACGGTTCAGTAATGGGCCAATCACCGGATGTAAAATCTGGTAAAATAAAGAGGTAAATCCATCTGGACCTGGTGCTTTCACCTTCTTCATTTCCCCAACTGTATTAAAGATCTATTTTTGCGTAAAGGGTTCGTGGAGTAATAAAAGTTTTTCAGGGGTAAGAACTGTCACGTTTAATTTTTTTTTTTAAATTCTGCCATTTGTTGGTCTGACTTTTGTGACTCAGGTAAATTATATAACGTTTCATAATATGATCTAAACGCCTTGCCGATCTGGAGGGGAGAAAGACAGGGAGAGTCTTCATATGTAATCTGTTTAATTCTGTTTCTTTATAAAGCCTCTATCCCTGACGAAGGTGCAGTACACAAGCACAGAAACGCGCGTCGGGCGTTTTTTCCTTTTTTTTTTTATTTTAATTTTTTTTTATTATGGGCACTGAGTATCGTTTGATTTAAGAACTCTTAAAGGACCACTCTAGGCACCCAGACCACTTCAGCTTAATGAAGTGGTCTGGGTGCCAGGTCCTTCTAGGGTTAACCCATTGTTTGATAAACATAGCAGTTTCAGAGAAACTGCTATGTTTATCAATGGGTTAAGCCTTCCCCCAAAGCCTCTAGCGGCTGTCTCATTGACAGCCGCTAGAGGCGCTTGCGTGCTTCTCACTGTGAAAATCACAGTGAGAGCACGCAAGCGTCCATAGGAAAGCATTATGAATGTTTTCCTATGCGACCAGCTGAATGCGCGCGCAGCTCTTGCCGCGCGTGCGCATTCAGCCGACAGGGCGGATCGGAGGAGGAGAGCTCCCCGCCCAGCGCTGGAAAAAGGTACGTTTTAGCCCCTTTCCCCCTTCCAGAGCCAGGCGGGAGGGGTACCCTGAGGGTGGGGGCACCCTCAGGGCACTATAGTGCCAGGAAAACGAGTATGTTTTCCTGGCACTATAGTGGTCCTTTAAACTCAAACATGATTTGATTACCTTTCACTGTCTTATCTCTTTGCTACTATGCCTGTCTAGATAGATTTACAGGGACAGAGGCTTTATAAATTCTACTGTCAGTTTATTTGATACTGACCCCTTTACCTCATACTGCTTACTCCCTCCTTTCTATCTTAAAGTATTTCTCCTCTGGATATTACTGTGCTGTAATCCTGCATTTTTTGTTTGGTCTTTTTGTGACCACGATCAACAGCCCAAAACTGCCTTTTACTTTAGGGACCTTATCCATTATCGCTAGTTGGCAAATCTGGATGGCTCTAATAATGGGATTTAATGTACCCTGGACAGTTAGGGTTCGAGATCTAGTACTTTAGGAGACAGCACTCAGAGGAGCACAAGTGTTAGACCAGAGAGAGGGGTCATAAGTGGGGACTGATTTTTTTCATTTAAACAAGTCTTTTAATAAAGCATTATTTCAGTACCCTATATCATTTCCCCTTTTTCATTTGGACGTGACCTCTACCTGCTTCTACCTTGGATGCATAGTTGCACTATTTACACTTGTATATACTTTATTTTTTTCAGTTATTTCATGGTCTCAATTCTGTTTTGGGTTAGTCAAGCCAATAATTAATACTTATATCCTACGTGGCTATATTTATATCAAGGTGATGCATATGGCCTCATGTCTTTATCTACACTGAGACCATCAGCATCTACCCTTTTGTTTTTTGTTCATTATCTATACTGGGGTTAAGCCCCTGGAGTCTCCCTGCAGTACATCATACCACGAGTCTAGACCGCCACTATTATCCTAGGATCTAGTGCATAGGTCTGTTCCCGTTGTCTTTTATCGGTTTTTGTCCTTTCTGAATTTATACTATTTGTTTATCGGAATCATTTGTGGGATGAAGCTTATTTGTTCTCTCCAGTCCAGCAAGGAGAATGTCGAGATCATTTAGAGTTTAACCTTGTCTTTTTTTTAAGATATGCACCCTGCTTTATCAGGTATCCCCTAAGAAAACACTTCATAGAACACCATAACATGGCATCAGATACTGTATCATTATCATTTTCTCTAAGGAACATTTCAGCAGCTTTAAACAAGTCTTTTTTTCTGCTTTCAGACCGTTAGATGGAGTCGTTTAATGTCCATTTGGAACGAATCTTATACTGTGGGTTGATTTTAAGGGTCAGAAATACAGGGGCATGATCCGACCAACTTATATTACCAATTTTTGAGTTTAAAGGACCACTATAGTGCCAGGAAAACATACTCGTTTTCCTGGCACTATAGAGTCTCTAGGTCCCCCCCACCCTCAGGGCCTCCCTCCCGCCGGGCTCTAGGGTGAGGAAGGGGTTAAATCTTACCTGTTTTCCCCTGCCAGGCTCCCTGACACATTCTGCCAGTCCATAGGAAAGCGTTCTCAATGCTTTCCTATGGACGCTGGCGTCTTCTCACTGTGAAGATCACAATGAGAAGCGCCTCTAGCGGCTGTCAATGAGACAGCCACTAGAGGCTGGATTAACCCATAGGTAAACATAGCAGTTTCTCTGAAACTGCTATGTTTACAGCAGAAAGAGTTAACCCTAGATGGACCTGGCACCCAGACCACTTCATTAAGCTGAAGTGGTCTGGGTGCCTTTAGTGGTCCTTTAAGCAG